ATGCAATACAAATTATTTGACCAGTCCAGTCAAATCCTGTCGTGTTTAGTCCAATTCATCTGCCAAACGGTACCTAAAATTCATATTTATATCCAAACTTATAATTTTATTAGGATTAAATGAATTTACATATTTAAAATTCAAAATTCTATATCATATTACTAAAGTACCCTTCCAAACTAAAGATTAGGATTACACCTAATTAAATATTAAAAAACTTTATTTTTTTTATACCCTCTTCTCGTGGGGTTGTTTTTCCCATCTTCTTCTCCACGATGTCGCCTCTTTTCATCCCAAGGTACAGACTTGCGCTTCTTCTCCCCCTCTTCATTGCAAGTTGCAGAGTTACTTTTCAACATTCGGTTTTTTTGGTATTCAGTTAATTAATTGGGAATGAGATTGCTTTTGGTGAGCTATGATTCTTCTTTATATTTGATCCACCAACTTGCATAAAGTCCAGTTTGCTGTGAGTATATGATCATATGTGCAAATATTTGGAATTATATGCTATGATATAAAGGATTCAAGGTTGTTACTTCCAGTCCCAGATGGTTCTGTCCCAATTTAAATCCAAATCTATTGCAAAGTTCTTTGTTATTGTAAGGCTCACATCAAAAGTATAATGCTAATGGTGCTCTTGTTACTTAAATGTTCTAGGTGCTAGGAATTTTGTTTGCTTATTAAAATCCCCCATATAAAATGTTGGATACAATATTGATGGTTTTGCTCTCAATATACGCTCTGATGGTTGGTTTGTTAAAGTTTGTAGTTACTGTGAGTCCCTCATCAAAAGTACATTGCTATGTTTTGGTGATCAGAACCGAAAAAACTGACCCTGTTATGCAAAATTACCATTGCTTTAGAAGGTTAACTACAACAAATAGCAATGCACTTCTATTGATAATTCTTGTAATCAGCCCAAATATGGGTTAAATGCGTTTAAAAGCAATATACTTTCATTTTTTTACTGAAATAACATATTTCTCACATGTATTATAAAAAGATTACTTCTATTTTTAAAATATTTCAAACTAAACCATTGTACTTTAAAACTACATTGCTATAATTCATTGAAAGTAAATAGCAATGTACTTTAATATAGATACAATCACAGTTAACCCACATTACTATGAGCTTAAAAACAGTTAGAATGCTATTCAAACAAAGTAAATTACTATACTCGTGGGTTTCAGAAGATATATTGCTACTTAGTTATCAGCTGAATCATATAAGATCAAAATAGAATGATATAAAGTTCATCATAAAATAATTTTTTTTTAAAGTTTTCTAAATCATAAGAAATACGTTATAACTTGTTTTCATCAACCTTTGAATCGGTCATAGATTTAAAAGAATTACGACATAAATTCAAAACAATTATGAATTATAAACACATTCACACACCCCACTCTCTATTTTGTGAAATGACATTTAACGAAAGTCTAATACTTTTAGATAAACTAGTAAAAAAACTCGGGCTGCGCCCCAGGTCGGTATTTTTTTTAAACCTTTTTTCCAATTAAGGCATCATACTTTGAAAGGTTTATTTTTACCTATAGTAGCAATGTTCTTACAAAGTGCTACAAATACATTATTTCATATCTATTGCTATCATTGGTAATTAAATATATGTGTTGTTATTTGAGGAAAATAAGACTGTATAGTAGAATATCAAAGGTGGGGGGGGGGGGGGGGGGAAGCGACAACTCCACAAACTAATGTGGCAAAAACATGAGGTGTCACATTTGGTAAATGCCAGGTACTAAAAGTGGAAAACTCTTGAACTCTTTGTGGCTATCATTAGAGAATATCGAAGTCGGGGGACCAAAAGTATCAACTCTTGAAACAAATGAGGTAAAAAGTTGAGAAGGAACCAAAAGTGGCAATGTGTTGAAACTTTTATGGGAAAACTTAGAGTAATAGGCAAAACTTTGAAAAACTTAGAGTAATAGAGTATTATATATATATATATATATATATATATACTTCATATGTTCCTGTATAATAGCTACGCAATTTCTTTTGTTTTATTACTATAACATTTCAATTTTAAAACTTTTTCCTTATTAAGGCATTTTAATCTAAAGTTTTTAACTCCATAACAAACATTGTGTTTTCATTTTTTGTCTTATTAGGAAAATATACTTTCAAAGGTCTAAAAAATGGTATTTGTCTAATTGCAAACAAAGACACCGAGATTGATTGCTCAATCAGTGAGGATTATATTTAATTGCATACTTGAGGGTTGTTTTAATCTTAATGACCCTATAATATCTAGACTGTAGTTATACACATTGACCGGATGGAAAATGAGCTTACTTATCCCACAAAAGCTTTGCATCAGGGGCAAAAATGTCCGAAAAATGAGAGACCCAATGGTACTCTTGAGAATTTTTTTTGGAGCAACTGAATTTCAATCCATGGAAAAATGAGATTATAGTTTTAGACCAAAACATAAAAGCATGACATCATTTTTGAGTTCTATTATAATATTAGAGAAAATATATAAAAACAAAAAACAATTTTTGAAGACAGTGTTTCAAATCATAATTAAAACAAAATAAATCAAAGTTTAATTTTAAATACCATTGGATTTAGAATTACAATTTATTAATTATGGTTAATCATTTGAAATTTGTAAGGATGTAAACTGAATAATGAATAAAGATAGGTGTTTGAAAATTATAGCTCTCATGTGAAAGAATGATAGGAAATATGAAGAGATCAATGCTCCTTTGTTTGTTTGATGAAAATTTCTGAGTTTTCCAATGTCTTCTAGTCAGCCTCACCCCATGTAAAAGTAAATTGGGCCATCACACATAGAAAGTAAAAAAGACTACAAAAAAGAGGGGGAGAATATATGAAGAAATATAGAAGTTCATATTAATGATAAAGCACTATAGTACATAATTACGTCTTCCTTCATTCCTTCCTATATGCCAAAAAACAACAAAAAGTATGTTAAACGTTTGAAAATAAGTATGAATTCAATGCAGTCAGCTTCAAAACATGAAAATCCATTAGCAAATCGAAAAAATTGGTACAATATCCCCAAAATGTACATTTTCATTAGATTAAATGTTCGTATTAACAAAATAGAGACTAAACATAATGGTGTGGTGGAATATATAAAATAATACATGATAGTGGTAAATGCAAAGATTAGCAATATACATGATTAATTGGAGGCTACAGTGCACTGAATCTCCTTAAACAATAAGCACAGTTTTGAATACATATTACTGTTTGTCAAAAGCAAATAGAATATAGAATCTTACTTGGAATAATAGACTTCTCTATTGCATCTACATATCACTACAATACAACTATATCTCTTGCTATTAATCAAACCTTTTCCTCCTCCAACCGATACCCAAAATTATGCATCATCTAATATGAATATGGGATATCAATAACAATTTGAATTATTTCAACATGGTATAATTAAAAAAAAAAAGATATACCTCAAGAAGTCATTTCCTTATTGATATGTCAAAATTAAATGCCACCGCAAAGCATTATGCACTTGTTCCGGTGTAAACAACATATTATTTTCATCAAAGAAAGCAAATAAAATGACCAATTCAAATTATTAGTAGCTTGAAACCAATTTCCGTTGTGTGTGAGAGAGAGAGAGAGAGAGAGAGAGAGAGAGAGAGAGAGAGAGAGAGAGAGAGAGAGAGAGAGAGAGAGAGAGAGAGAGAGAGAGAGAGAGAGAGAGAGAGAGAGAGAGAGACTTACCTTTTTGAAGGTTTGGCAGAGAAGCAATGTCTTCTTTAGTAGTCCCAGAGCGCCAAACATCTACCCCGCTCTTGATTCTGTTCGATACAAGCTTAAGAGTAAAACAAAAATCAACATATTATAAGAGAATGGATCCTAAAAATACAATAAACTTCAATTGCAACACCAAAAACCCTAAATAGTGAAGGGTTTAAGGAGAATTGTGGGGAAAGTGGGTAGATAGGAAGAAGAATGTGGGGAAGAAAAGTTATGGCGATTGAAGTAACATGGAGTTGAAAGGTGAATCCCAAATCCAATAAATGACACGCAATGAATTAAAGAAATAAAAGTACATTGGGTTATTCTTCTTCTAGGTTATTTATACAAAAAATATTGTTAAATCCCAATTACAGTAAACGTCACATAATGAACTGATCATAATCCGTCTTATATAGCGGAAATAGAGTGTGAACGTGGCTGTGCAGAATCAGATAGTGGCTTCCGTAAACTCGGATAGTGCCTTCTGTATATTGGTTGAAGAAGGAGGACATGGGCAGCAGTTGAATCCAGTCTCCATTCTCAACTGTATTCAACCATGGTAGTTAAAGGGAGATTGGGTAGACGTCTAAGCAGAAGATGCAGGCGTGGTACAGGGACGTTATGTGATAGTTTACACTTTTACTGGGAAACCTACTCTATAAATATCTATGAGGACAAAAGTAGGTAAATGTGAGAAGTTATATGTTAAATTAAAGGGTTGTATCTAAAACTAAAGAGTTAATGATATTGTATATAAACCTTATAGTAAATAATTTAATCAAGGGTCTTAAAATTTCTTCATTATCTGGAGCAAATTAGAGGAAACCCATGACCCCAAGTTTAACAAACGTCCATAAAGCATGAGGAAGCGATATATTCAAAGCAAATATATAAATTTCATCAGGTCGAACCAATAATAAACAAGATTCAACACCGATTTGAAATATATCATAAAGGAGATGGTTATTTTGTTATTTTGTGAATATCCTTTGTTATTTTTCAATATTTGTATATTTTTTCGCCAACTCGTCTTTCATCTCATATTTCTGTTTATCAAAATTTAATGAATATGTTTATTATTTTAATGACTTAAATGTTTGTTATAATTATTTAAAAAAGCAATTATATCAAAATACCCTAATAGTAAGATTTTTTTTAAAAGGACACTTTCACAGTAGTAAATAAATGCATAAACACACTATGCACACATAAAGATTAACTATCAAAATATATTAATTTCATCATGCTTTATTCGATACTATATGCGTACTACAAAGCGTTCCACCTGAACCCCAAGGTTTAGAAAACGCCCATGATGGATTAGGGAATGATACATTCACCGGAGATATATAAAATCCATCAGATCTTAATTGCCAATAACAATAAACAACACGAAATCCAATCCCTCCAAACCTATCGCACGTTCTTCGCGCAAGTTTAGCAAACGCTTCCAAGCAATCATATGATTGACCCCACCAAAACTCAGCATCAAATGTTGTTGTGCTATCAAGTCTATCACAAAATGACCAATGATAATAACCATTTGAAGTGACATTATGTTTCCCGAGATCATCATCTTTTGATCTAACATGCATAAGAATATTATCAGGAGTACCGTTAATAATATACATCTTCCATTGTGGAGTAAAGAAGCAAGAATTTGTGATGGAAGGGAAGGAAAATGCTAGGATGAGACAAATCAAGAGGCTACGCATTGTATATGACAGGTTTATAAGAAACTTAATTTCATAAATTGTAATAGTTGGTTTTTTATAGACAGTTGGGTTCTCAATCTATCCCATGAGAGGAAATAGTGCACCATGCTAATATTTAAGATGCATTAACTGCTAGTAATGTAAGATAGTAAATTACACAAATTATCCCCGTGGTTTAGCATAATATTTGACTTTCATCCATAGCTATTTTTTCACTCAAACAGTTTCTAAGTTAATCTTTGTTCTGTTGATATTTAAGACACATTAATTGCTAGGGTTCTTGGAGTTTGACATGTGCTCCGATGACTTCTAAAAGTGCATTGGTGAACAACATGGTTTATTTTTGTTGGCGATTAAGATCCAAAAGCATATGCAACATAATGTTTTCCATATTTTGTGTGAAGTTGATCTTTGTAATATTTGGTTATTATTTATGATCTATATATATATATATATATATATATATATATATATATATATATATATATATATATATATATATATGATATGTGTATTACTATTTGTATGTATGTCATCAGGTGAAACCTAATGCTTACCACTCTTTGTGTGTTATTGGTTATAAAGAGAATTTGATCGTGGTAAAGTTGTACATAAAGTTGATGCATCGTTGGGTTACGTGATTTTGTCCATGGAAATATATGTTTTAGGTTTTTTCTAGCCTTTGTGTAGGGAATAAAATGAAAAGGACGTTGTGGGGGTTTCATGTCGATCTTCTCCGAGATATAAGTTGGAGAACGAAGAGGAATGGAGTGGGTTGTGGACTTAATTGTTTCTAATAATAATTTAAAAATATCATTAAGGGCAAATCATCATTTTAATGAGATCAGGTGCTACAGTTGAAATAAAACCAATCTCAGGGATCTTCTGAATAAAAAAATCTTTATAAGGATGATATCATACATTAGAACAAATCATGGGGACAATTTATGTAATTTGTCTGTATTTAAGATGAATTGATTGAGACAAATAAGAATATTTATTGTAGCATTTTACAAAATAAAAAATATTATATAATTATGTTGTTTATTAGTTTATATATCTTATCAAATATACCTTTAGGACACACATAATAAATATTAATTATGAGAAATATTACCATAATTAAATGTGAAATACATTAATTATAAAGAATATTATTCATTGAAAAATGTAAAATGTGTTAATTATGAAGAATATTCTTTATAACTAAAGTATTTCATATTTAATTATGGTAATATTCCTTATAATTAATATTTCTTACACATGTCTTATGGCACATGTTAGAAAATCACATATATTTATAGCAGACATAGTACTTAGAAAACAAAGTTGTGGAATCTGGGATGATGTCTACATCCATCCTCATAGTAGACCCAAGGTTTGTCCTCAGAATTTCATGACCATATGACCATAATCTCCCATAATGTTCAATTAGACTTCCTTCAATTTCTTGTAATGCAAATTTCTTTGCATTTCTGCATTGCCCCACACTCACATTTATATTGAATGTTGTTGAAACTTTAGCTTTCATCTTCCTAACACTCATTTTTGGCTGCTCTATAATTTCACTCATAAACTGTTTGCCTAACCACTTATAAGTTACTATGGACCCAAACTTAAACACCCTGCTACAATTATGTTCACTAACTAAAGATTTTATCTTAAAAGTCCTCTCTTTACTCATCCAAGAGGCCCAAAGTCTAAATGGACAAGTAGGTGACTTGCTTTTTTTTGCAACACTTAACTAACAACCTTTGGGAGTCATTTTTTTCAAACCAGAGATCATATCCATTAGCAACTGCATAGTTGCTCAACATGTTTTTAAGCTCATCAGGGTTAGAAAATCGCATACCTAACATTGGTTTCATCTGATTCCATGGTTTTCTATCATCATGTACAAGGTATTGAGGTTCAACATATTCAACATCTTCATATACATCATCTACATTTAATGTGTGTAGACAAAGTTTGTTTAAGAACCTGTCACCCATGGTTTTATTGGCTGGGAATGGATATTCAGCATCATCTTCTTCATGGTCAACATAATAAGTGTTCGACAATACCGAGTCTTCATCCTCTTCACAGCTGTAGTCTTGATCTTCATTTTCCTCTTCCTCAATCCGTTCGAAGATTGGTTCATTATAGTGGTCCACATACACTATAACGACCAAAAATTTCAACCAATTAAAACATTTTATTTCATTCAAAAGCCATTACGTTCATACATCTTGTTTTCAAAACCGTTTAAACATCAGAGTATTTCCCCAGAACCATAACGCATAAAACATAAGCATGAGGAGCGGTACGATCACGCCTTCGCCTTGCTACGATCTCCTGAAACAATAAACCACAACTGTAAGCCCGAAAGCTTAGTGAGTTTCCCCCAAAGTACCCATACACACAAAAACATACACATACAGCAAAGAACAACATACTACGGGTCCATTCAACCTTCCGGTTGGAATACCCCCGACCCTCAACCATCGGGTTGGAATGCCTGGATAACGCGAGCCCAATCATCCTACCGGGATGGAAAACTCTCGGCCCACAACCATCGGGTTGGAATGCCCAAACTCTTATACATACAACAATAGCTACTATGGGTCCAATCATCCCTTAGGATGGAATACCCCAGGCCCCTCAACCATCGGGTTGGAATGCCAACATACTATGAGTCCAATCATCCTACCGGGATGGAATACTCCTGGCCCACAACCATCGGGTTGGAATGCCCCACTTCCTATACATACAGTAACTACTACTATTATTATGGGTCCAATCATCCCTTGGGATGGAATACCCCAGGCCCCTCAACCATCGGGTTGGAATGCCAAACTACTATGAGTCCAATCATCCTACCGGGATGGAATACTCCTGGCCCACAACCATCGGGTTGGAATGCCAATCTACTCTAGCAGACATGCACACATATCAGGCAACCACATAACACTCTACAGAACTAGCACACTAGGGCCCTATCATCCTACCGGGATGGAATACCCTCTACCACTGCTCAACATACATAACCCGTAGGTATCCTCCTACCAGCGTACATAATGCAAGACCCACTACCGGTCTATAAATAATCACTACCCAACTACCAGGGCGCTGATCCAACAGAACTAGCCATCATACAACTATCCATCTCTCTAGGATACTAGGTAAAAGGCATACTCTCATATCACTATCTTATCCACCAGAATACTAGCAAGCATATCATCACATAATATAACAAGCTCTAACAACAATTCAAAGGGCCGGCCTTGGTGCCTTAGACCCTTGAGTACAGTGAGGAAAACTCACCTTACCACTGCCGAAATCCTACAAATCTCTGACTGCTGATTCACCGGGAATCCCCACTATCACATGCAAAAATCATCTCATTATACACTATCATGACTTTCTAGGCCAAGGGCCCACAGCACTTATTAAGTCCATCATCCTCTTATTGGGCCAAGACCCAAAACCAAATCCTTATGTAAAGCCCAATATTAGCCCAATTTACTAAATTGGGCCCACCTCACCAAATGGGCCTAGATCCAAGGTCCATAATAATTATTGGATCTAAATTACTCCATCCATAATGTTCAATCACGGCCCAAGCCCCACCAGCCTATAAACAGCCCAATCACTTAAGGCCCAAAATCAAAAACCCAACAGAGGGAGTACGTTGGGCGTACTTCGATGCTCGCGGACTGGAAACGAGACACTGACCCACTACGCTGGGCGTACATCCATTTACGCGGGGCGTAATCTTGCTGACTAAAATTCCTCATAAGTTCTTAATGGCTTAAGCTCTTAAGCCCAAACTTCAGATCCATCCACCAAACATGCCTAGGATTCATAACGTCTCAAACTTTATTACTTGGGACGTCCATAAAGCTCTTAACTCAAGGTCTTAACCCAATAAGACCTTCCTATTTCTTACATAGGACAACCAAAGCCATTGGGACCTCATTTTTCTTACTCAAGACCTCTCCAATGGTCTGAAAGGACAACTCATCTTAATCAAAACACATCATGCATCAAGATGTGGGTTTTTGGGACAAGAATGGTGTCAAAACTTCACCATACATACATCTACACAAAATAGATGTCAAGCAAGAAGCTTTATACCTCAAAAGGGCTCCAGAAGATGATGCCTTCCCAGATCTACGAGCTCCAGCCACCCAACTCCTTCCTTGACAACTTCTTCTTTCTTCTCCTAGGCTCTCCTTTGCCAAACCAAGCTCCCCAAGGTCAAATATCCACAACCATGGAAGAAAACGGCTACTTAGGGTTTCTGAGAGTAAGAGGGCAGATATGGAGGCTAGGGTTGGAACCATAATGTTCCTTATATAGTGGCTGGCCCTAAAATTAGGGTTTCTGGACACTGGACGTATGCTGGGCATAAATCCAGTACACTGGGCGTACGTCGAGGAACTCCGCATTTCATTTACTCTATTACGCTGGGCGTACCCACGCGTGTCCCAAGCATGCATGGCCTTTCTTTGACAACTTTTCCATTAAGTGCCATAAGTGTCAATATCTTCAAGGTGCCATAACTCCTTTATTCTAAGTCCGTTTCCGACGAACTTTATATCCACGAAAAGGTGGCGAGAAGCCCTGCGCTTCTAGCAACACACCCCAACCCGAAGCCTTCTCGAACAAAACCCATTGCCCATAAAAAGACCAAAACGCCCTTACTCTTGATCACGGGAATTCCATAAATAATTACTCTTAGAACGGGGCGTTACATACACATTCATTCTCCTCCCATTTGCATAAGCCAAATCCAAAAATTCTTTGTAATCACCGTCATTCACCAGTGTATGAATTCCATGACTTAAAGACTCTTGTGGAAGGCAGAAGTAGATATCTTTGCTTCTAGTTCTGGTGAGCTTTTGAAGGAATTCCATGAACTCCTCGTACTCAAATGCACTGAAGTCAACATCTCCTACTGATTGTCTGTCGGGATCAAAGTATACTAATGGGTTGGGTGCAAACGTTCCATTGTAGTGGAAATCCACTACAATGAAGTTTCGATCAGTGGGACATTGTGATGAAGCCATTATAGAGACCGATTGAAGATTGAAGGAGAAAAAATTGGGGGTTAATTAGACTTGGTTCCCTAATCGAATTTAAGGACCAAACGAGACTTCACTCTTAACTTTAATGAAGATGGGAGGCAAAATCGGGGCCTACATGCCACCTCATTGGCCACCTAGGATAAAAAAGCCACATCAGACCCATGCAATCGTTGAAACCGGCTATAATCAGTCATAGGGGAAAATTTGCACGAATCAACAAGTTAAATGGCTATTAGAGCACGAAAAAAAGTATAATGACCAAATGTGACCAAAAGCAATAGTATGTTACCCTCTCAAGTCATTATCCCAAAATAATATTCATTTGCAAAATATAACATTAGGGCCGACCGTGACGATGAGCAACCCAGGCGACCGCCCATGGTTCACGTCTCTAAGTGGGCCAAAATTTATGGTCTATATATTGTATACATATAAACAATTATGTACACATTTCTTAGGGGCCCAATTACCAGATTCCCAATTTAGCCCAAACTCAAATTAGCCCAAACTCAAGTTAGCCCAAATAAAGAAATTGGTTTGGTGCGGGGTATGATTTCCCAAACCCGCCCCGATATCTTTCGGGTATCTTATCGGGGAGCCCATCGGGTTTCGGGTTTTCCCGTCGGGTTTTGGGTAACTTATCGGGTTTACAACAATTCATAATGAAATCTTTATTCCGTTTTAGGGTACCCCAATGTCTTATAAAGCATACATGTTATACCCTCCCTTGTAAATTAAAAATATGATGCATCACTTTAATAAAATAAATTGAACGTTATATTAAAAAATTATTTGATTTAAGTTTAGTGTAATATGTCAAAACATAAAAAATGATCATTCACAGCAGAATGTTATATATATATATATATATATATATATATATATATATATATATATATATATATATATATATATATATATATATATATATATATATATAATCGGGGCGGGGCGGGTCGGGGCGAGGATAACCCACTCCCTGCCCCGAACCCAATAAAAAACCCGATAACGACCATATACCCGACCGGAAATGATCGGGTTTTGGGTTTCCCCGTCGGGTTCGGGCTTTTTTGCCATCCCTAGGTTTGTTCGATGTTCGATGATAGATGAATGCGCATCTAGAATTGTCATGAACAAATGAAGCTCCAAAACAGGAATTAAAAAGCGTTGTGAATATAATCGACATCATCGATAATGGTAATTGAATCGTCATATACATCAGGTGGGAACTCGTGCATCGTCGACGTCATGATGTCGCCTTCTCCCCCTGACATAAGAACTTAGAAGTGCATTCAACCATCGCTTCTAGAATCGTTATTCTCTCTATCTTGAATCGTCATTTACTCTTCTCTCTTACACTCACATTTTGACTTCTCTGTGCTTCCCACTCTGATTTTTCTCATACTTTACTCCTCACGCTCGTATCTCTCAAACTTTCTCACAATCCGCCATTCGTCTTCTACCTCTCAATCTCGATTCATGACCAGCCCATCTTCTTTTGAATTTATGTTGATTCCAGAATTGTTAGGACTTATCTAGATAACTTTAAGGTATGCTTTTAGTTTCTGAAAGCTTATAGATTTGTATATCGTTTTTTTCTTTTAGATTTTTGAATTTGATTTTTTCTTATCAATCTAAGTTTGTATATCATATTTCTTTTTCTGAAAGATTATAATCTTTGTTTCTGATTTTTGTTTGTACATGAAATCTCTAAAGTTGATTATTACAGGAACAGTGAAATGCATTGCCCTAAGTTTCAGATTTTTCACCCATCAAGGTAAAATGTTTTCTGATTTGTTCCAAATATTCTACAATATTATGATGCTTGTTTCTGATTTGTATCTTTCAAAGTTTCAGCTTCAAATATTAGATTTCTGATTTGATAAGATAATATATTAATCAGAATTTTAGGTTATCAGTTTTTTTTTGCTTTTACTTTATCTATCATTTTGTACGACTTTTATTATTGATTTTATTTACTAGCTTACTTTAATATTAAGCTTCCACTAAGATAGAAATCGGGTGTACTAATTTCTTGAAATAATCTATAGTTATGAATAATAACATAGTTGTTAACTCGTGACTCGATGCGTGACTTGAAAATATAAAATTTTGACTCGTGACTCGGATCGAGACTCGACTCGAAAGATTCATGATATTTACAAAAATTATATATAAATATATAATACATATATAAAACATAATATTCATTGAATATTAATGAACATCTATTATATTTCGTGGCCTAGAGTGTTAAAAAAAAGTAGAGCACGGGCTAATATAAACATGTGGTGAAAGTTGGAGTACAAATTTAGTATAGATGTTGATATATAAAGAAAAATGCATTTAGGGTTATAACATCTTTTCTGCAGGTCTTCACTCTTGACACACTCTCACCTAACTTTTTCTTTCTACAAGTTCATCTGTTCATGGGTTCAAATCTGAAGATCTTAAGCTCTACGTTCGAATCTGAAGATCTTAACCTCTACACTCTCGTATTTTTTTTAAACTTTTTTCTGTTAGCACCTCTAATCCACACTCCTACATTCTTGGTCTTCTCCCCAATGTTCTTAACAGTTCTCAGACTAGTAGTCAAGAAAAAAATCGTTATTAACCGCTAGATAATTTGTTTACCCACCGGATCATGTGATTATCTACGACACGCAATACTCGTCTGAGTCACGAGTTGACTCGACTTGGTACGAATTGGACAAGGACTTGTAAATTTTGACCGAGTCATACCTAAAACTGAGTCATACACCGAGTCACCTCGTTTTGGGTATAAAATGAGTCGACTCGTGACTCGTACGAGATTGACAACTATGGATAATAATAAAATGTTTCATAAAGTTTGTTGCTACTTTTTGTAATGACAATGTATGCGATGTGGTATGAAATTATCTTTTTTTTCTGAATCAAAGTGATTGTTATCCAAATGTTTTTATAGCATATAACATCTTATTAACCATGCATATTACTGTTGCATTTGAATCGATAATTTTTTTCAAAACTGAAGTTATTAAAGAAAATTGCATAAGAAATATTGAATGGTTTGACAATATTATGTATAAAGAAATATATGTTAGATAAATTGATAGTATTATCAATGATTTTGCATATAAAAAAGTTAGAAAATTATTATCCTTTAAATATGTTATTTTTTTATAAATATTATGGTTATATTTGTGTTATTGATGATATTATTAGTTTATTCTTATTGATTTTTTTTTTAAATCTTTATTATATTTGACGTTGAGAGCCCTTCTTTTCTTCTCGCCCCGGGTCCAATATATGTTTGGACTGGCCGTGTATAACATACATTAAAGGGAAAATTTCCTATATATCCTTGCAAACTCAAAATATTACTTCAGTATCCTTGCAAACTTTGAAATTACACCTATATCCATCCAAAACTATAAAAAAATACATACATATCCAAAATCATATTTTAATTAGAATTATATCAATTTTTATTAACTTTTTTTTATCTAATATTCAAAATTATATATTAGTTTACCAAAATACCGTTTTCTAATTAAATTCCAAATTAAATCACAAACCTTCAATAGTGGTATATCGTCTTCTTAGTTCATCTCATCCAAAGTGAAATGGGACCATAGTTTGAAATGGGGTTATGGATTGGGATTTTATGAGTACTACACTCTGCATCCCCTTATAAAACCCAACATAGCAACCTTTCCTGAAAAACACTCATATATGCATTACTTCAACCAAACAACAATATTATATTAAGAATCCATACCAAATTGGAAGAAGCCATGCCAACGTCCTCGTAAGATGAAGAATTAAGAATCTAATTCTATTAGGAAAAGAATTAAAACCCTTACCTTGGCCAGCTTCATAAAAAATGCACATAGAAAGAAAATCCTTAAACATATTTAGATAATAGCTCTTCGGCATATTTTCAATCTCACCACCAACCATCTCCATTGAGAACTAATTGTGGGAACGAAACATATAAAAGATTAAGCCATAAGTTTTCGATAAACCACAAAGGTCAAAGAATTGCTCATAAAAATAGATTAAGCCTTGTCCACTCCTAATAAACTTCCTATAAGTAATAAAGATTTTGCTTGGGGCTGGAAATTAACAGACACAAAAGGATTCAATGGGAATATCAATTTGGTAAATTCGATTCTTGAGGCCAAATGTACCAAACTCTCAAAGTACAGTTACCAGAAACGAAGGCAATACACAAAAACTATATCAATGGAAAAATCCAACCGTAAATTATACAGATATCAGTACAACGCAACACAAATTAAACCATCCAAAATCAATTACTTCACTAATTAAGCATCTAATTCTGAATATATTATAACAAAGCATAAACCGAGAAACCAATATTCAGCCATTGACGACCGATCATAATTATGAGGAGTAGTCGCCCCACTAGTTATTCGAAGTAGCATGACAGGAACGGAGGCATGGAGGTTTACCGGTGGTGGTAGTTGATAGAGCAAGGAAGAAGAAGGTGAGGGAGATGGTATGTTGAATTGATCGAGAGAGATGTATTGAAGTAATAAAGAAGAGGGCATAATCGATGGAAGAAAGATAAAAAGGCAATTTGGTAAACTAGTACATAATTCTGAATATTGTATAAAATATTTAATAAAAAATTGATATAATTCTAATTAAATATAATTTTGGATATTTATGTAATCTTTATAGTTTTGGATGGATATAGGTGTAAATTTAAAGTTTGCAAGGATATTGATGTAATTTTTAGAGTTTGCAAGGATATATATAAAATTTTCCCTGCATTAAAAACTAAAAAAACTAGAAGATATGTTGCTATAGACGTCGAAGATAGATGGGATATACAAAGGAGTGGAAAGTTTTAAAAGATTTTATAAAATAAAAATTAATAGAAATATGATTTTGAATAACTAATATGACATTTGGAAGTTGACTATTAAAGAGGTCTTAAAAACTATCCAATTACCTAACCCAATCCAATC